TTCTGCTTCAAAATCTACCCTAATAGTTGACTTGTAGTTTGTATCAAACGCTTGTAGACAAAACCTTAAAATGAATAAAAAAATAATGAATAAATCATGAGTTATAGTGAACACACTAATAAGCAATTGAACAATCGAAAAAAATTATTTTATGCTATAGAAGTATTTTTAGAATTGTCTCTAAATAGGAACATAGATAGGTTAAAAACTTCTGACACTTCACATTTATAACAGAAACAAAAAAAAAAGAAAAACAGATGTATAAAAGCAAAACTTTTGACAAAAAAAGGGGGAAAAAAACAGGGATATATTAAAACTAATAAGCAATAGGTACATTAAAAATAATTTTTTTTCTGCCTTCAATGCATTACTCTAAAAAGGATCATTAATAAGATCATTTTCTGATACTCTGCATTTATAACAGCAACATAAAAAAAAAAAACATATATAAAAAAAAAAGCATGACTTTAATTACCGCCGGACAAGACAAGTTTTCCCAACAGCAACATCTCCAACAACAATGACTTTTGTCAGCCTGAGCCTATAAAAATGCAAATATAGTCAATGTTTTTTGAAGACACAAATACTGATAATTGAAGTTACATTTAATATGCAAACTGGAAAAAAGTCACATTTTCCCTGACTATAATTATTTCAATTACAGTAGATTATCACAAAAAATTCTTCGATTTGAATATCTCTGTTAATCAAATTGATTTTGAAGTGTTTTTTTTTTTCCATGCATATTTATTTCTTTTCCTATTTAAATTCCAATGCCCTTTTATTGGAATTAAAAATAGATGTTTTATTATTCGGTGATATTAAAAATAAGAATTGTTAAATACTCAAAAAAGATATATTTAATAAATTGTATTTCATTATAATTAAGAAGTTGTATGAACATTATAAATAAATGAAATGAACTTTGAATCAATGACATCAGCTAAGAATTCAAAATTAGATATTGCTACAATAAATATACAAACTTTACTTTTGAAAATATTTTGAAAAAGGTATTGTAACTTAAAAAAAAGATCTTGAGGGAAATTCCAAACCTGAAATACTGAGTTTTGGTGAAAAATAGGGCTCTGAGAATTTAATGCTCATAATACTCATAATACTGGGTCAAAGTCAAAAAAAATTAGTCAAAGAATGCTCCCTCGATAATATGATTATTTCAATTGGGTACTTGCACTGCAAGAAGATCTCCCATACCCACACATGTAACCATGATGTCAACTAATCTTTATCAGCAAAATGGCGTATTAAAGTTGAGTCAAGTTTCTCTACATAAGTTAGAATGTTAATTAACGATAAGTTAATTAAATACAGAGCGTACATCGAATCAGCTGAAATATAATTCTTTTTCGCCCACTTCTTTTACGTAACTTATTAGATTTATAATATGGTTATGTGTTTTATTGTAACCATGATATATTTTTGTTTTTTTGTACCTGGCAACTTTTATCAATAATTAGTTTATGTTCCACATGGCTTCGGACCTGTCTCTGCTGTTAAGTCTCTGAGTAAATATATGGTGAAAGAATCAACAACCAATCAAGATTGAGATACCCACACTACGCCATTTGCAGGCATCCCTCTGTCGGATGTAACAAACTTACTTCAGACATTAGAGGTCTTACTTTATTTGAATTAATTCATAGTAAGCAAAAAATGCAACTCTCTTACAATTATTCACTTAAAATTACTTTAATAAGAAAAATACCATAAAAACGAGAGAGAGAGAAATAATCTTACATTTCACATTTTGAAACATTTATTTTATGCAGGGATGAGAGTAGTCAGAAAGTAAAAAAGAGGAAATCTAAGAATGAATAAATATATATATATATATATAAAATAAAATTTTTGATAACAATTTATTACTTAATAAAGATATTTAGTACATTCATTTCTTATTAGTCTTTACATCACATTAAATCAACCATTGGATAAAATGTTAGGTATTTGTGCTGTTTAGTTTTGGCTCATAGGTAGAGGAGAATGGAAGAAAATTACCAAGATTCACTCTTCGCACTATTTGTTTCCAAGTTAAGTATTTCTGGAAATTTTTCACAGCATTATAATTTTTAAATAATTAAAACTTGAAAACTATTTACCATAGAGAGGTAAATTTTTAATATAATTTTACAAAATATATAATAGCTTAATTATTAAAAAAAAAAATTTAAATGTTAGGAACTTCTGAAGCTATAAGAGTGAACTAGAGGACAAAAAATATAGCTTTGAAGGTGTAATAGATTTTAAGATACAGCTTTTTAAAAAATATAAACATTAAAGAAATTTTGAAAAATGCATTACTTGAAAACAAATGGTGCAAAAAATCTGGTATTTTCATGCCAGAAGCAGCTTTTTACAGGTGCAGATAATTGACATAAACTTCTAATAATCTATGAACAAAAATTATACAACCACATTCATGGTTTGTTTCTAAGACACAACATAAATNACCCAAAAAAAATTAGAACAACTTATAAAGAGAGACTACAATTTGACTCTCATCATGTCATTTTTGTAAACAACAGTAAAACAGAAACAAAATTTTGAAAAGACGTTATTCAAAAAATACTCATTTAAAAATAAATATTAAGATGGAAATTGTAATACACAATTCCACTATCATTATAGTAGTTATTTTTTTAAATGCACGTAAAATGTAAATAAAATTTAGAAAGAAAGATATGCAAAAGATAAAATGAAAAATGTCACTGAACGATTGTGATTTTTTAAAAAATCGATACTGAAACTAAATTATATAGAACAAAAAAAAACATGTACCATAAAAAATTAGAATAAAAACTTATCAAAGATGGGCTACACTTTCTCTATTATAATCAATTTTGTAAACATATGTAAATTATGAAAGGGTGTATTAAGTACGAATTGTCGGCTAATGACTAAGATTCTTAAAATAGTAAATTTTTTAGCTATCTTTTTCAACAACTTACATAAGTTAATTTAAACACAGTTTTAATTTAAGATAAGCTCATAGAAAAGAACTTTTTGTGGTCTTTTGTTTATCAACAAAAGTGATAGGGGTTAAAGTAGAGTTGTATTAGTTCTGTTTATAACAATAGTACAGAATAAATTTAGAAAGTTATTGAATTAAGGCTCTGAAGGAGTAAATAAAAAATCAATTTTTTATTGTCAGAGTGATCAAACATTAGTCGATGCAAAAAAATAATAAGTTTTGAATCACTTCACTGGAAACGTGAAAAAATGACTCATTTTATCTGCTCACTGTGCCGTTGACTAAGATTGTTTGTTTATGTTTTGCTTTCAAAAATGAATTTTTTTATTAGTCTTTGTAGTTCCTGTTTCCGTAGTTAATGTATTGTTCAATTGAGAAATGACTCATAAATTATGGCAGATGCTAAATTTTTTTTAATAAAAAGGCGAAGTTTTATTTCGTAAACAGTCAAAGTATAATTTTTTATTGAAATTTAGGTTTTTATCGAAAAGTAGAAAATATGTAGAAAAAGCTCAACATTTGGTAATTTAAATGATACTTATGCTGATGAAAATCCATATTAAATTATTCCCATATGCATACATAGTGCTTTGATAACAATGTGTTCTATTTAAAATTTTGACATTGGGAATGATACAAATTCATACTATGTGTAGAACATACTTATATTTTTTTGAAATTATCCCCACAATTATAACGCTATTGGTTTAGAAATATTTTGCATACAGAAATATTGACATACTCTCTCATACGATATTAAATTTGTTAACTGAATTTTTTTTTAAATGCGAATTGCAAAGGGGAGAATTATTCTTTTTTGAGGACAGTCTAAAGTGAAAATATCAATAACATAGATGATACAATTAAACTTCAATATTTAGATAAGTCAACGATCTACAACTAGTAAATAGTTTTGATTCTGAAGGAAATAGTTAGATTTTATTTTGATTGATCTGATCTATTAATTTAAATCAAGCGTTCATGTCCTTTTTCACTTACAAACTTAAAATGAATGAAAAGTGAAGTTCATATTGATTGCTAACTATATTTACAATTTGACTAAATTGTCTTCTCTATGCTTTTGATCCTAAAAAAAAAAAAAA